CTTTTTTTTTTTTGAGGCATTCAGTGCTAGCTACTGTATCTGATTTGGATATGAAGCAATTAAAACTTCTGGAAAATAAGAGTTTCCAGAAATAGAGGAGAATCTTTTCTTTATACTATTACCCTGAATATCTGGAGTAAATCAATAGTAATGCAAGAAAGGTAATGAAGTTACAGATAATCTTCAATTTACATTCATATCTTCAATGACCATTCAAAGTTCAGAGGGCCCTGAACGAATAGTGGTTACGACTGGTTATCAGAGTTCTGGCCATCTCAGCTCCTCTGCAGTCACATGATCACAATCTGGATGCTTAACAACCCGTTCACATTTATAAATAATTATTAAGAGCCCTGTGGTAACATAATAGCCATTTGCAACCTTCCATGCCAGTTTCCCTAGAAAGTCAAAGAGGAACCTTTGACCTACATAACGCCTCTTGCGTACTCCTGCACATCTTTCTTAACTGTCCCTGAACTAGGGAGCACCTTTTGCACCTTCCTTGCACTCAGCTCTTGCTCACTCTCCCCTCTCCGCCTCTCTCACACACACCTTCACCCACCCTCTCCCTGGCTCCCTCACCCAGCCACTTATCTGCTTGTTGGTCTGGGACTTGTAGCTTCCTGCAGGCTTCCCCACTGACTTTGATTGTGAGAAGCCAGCAGAAAATCAACTCACCTAATATCTGTGAGATTCCATTCACATGGCAACCGGGACTGCAGTTATTGTGCTTTACTACCACACTGCTTAGCAATGGAAATTCCAGTCCATATTCCTATTGCAAGTTCTTATCTGTAAGCATCCCTATTTTTTTCACATGTAGTTTACCATTTTCAAAAAGGCTGGATTGTAGGAAAATGTAGAGAAAATAGACTGTTGGGGCCAAAATTCACAATTTGCAGAGAAAAACTACCTTTTCAGTGTAATCAGAGGCTGAGATGAAAGGTGTAGATACTTTGAGATCCAAGAATTTTCTATAACTTAACCACTTAAGGGTTCAAGAATAAAGTAATACATTTGTGTTATTGCTCCTGATCTCCAAATCATATAACCTTAGCAAAAAAATTGTTTCCTTGGCTAGTGTTCTGTCTGAAACTGATGCTTGATCTTCAACTTCACAAACCCACAGGTCACTTGCTGCAGGTGTGACATAAAAAGTAGAAGTGAATGAAGGGAGAACAAAAGATAAATATGGGCGGTACAACTAAGATGGGAATGTACTGTGTCTAATTCTAGGCACCTCATTTTTAGAAAGATTTAGAGAAACTGGAACAGATGCTGAGAACAGCTATAAGGATGATCAGAGAATTGGGTATGTTCAGTTCTGAGAAGCGAAAACTGATGACATGTTATTTTAGCATTTAACTACCTAATAGGCATTGCGCAGAAAATTAATACCTGTTTTCTAGTACACTTGGCTTATCAACTAGAAAGCAGACAGCCCAGGTTCAAGACCCAAGCGTCGCATAATGCAGTGAGTTCCCATCCTCGCTCTAGCTCCTAACAATCTAGAAGTACAAAAGCACAGAAATCTGAGTAGATGAATAGGTACCACTTCAGTGGGAAAGTAACAGTGGTCTGTGACATCATGCTGGGCTCATGAAATGTCTTTGGACAGTGCTGGCTCAACAGCCCTTGAACGGAAATGAGCTCTGGCCTCTATAGTCGGCAACAGCTAGCCAAGTGAAATCCACAGGGAGGGTGGGAGGGAGAAAAGAAAAACTTCCATAAAACAAAGCATAGGAAAAGGTTCAGATTAACATCAAAACAAATGTTAGATAAATGAGTATCTAAAAGCAGGTAAAAAATAATGAGGAAACAGTACATAAAATAATGTCCAGTTTAGAGTGTCCATTTATTTTCTTAGCTAGATATTAACTGATTGATAAAAATGAAGCAAAATTTAAATCTCAAACAGCATGAAAAAAAAAATAGAACAATCAGTGATATTCAAACCTTCAGATAAATTTTAAAAAGAAGAAAATTAAATGTAGCAATTCAGTGCTTAATATGAACCTCATGGAGCAACTTGGAAGAATAGTGATCACACATATTTATTATAGTTCACACTGTATGAGATATAAAGCAATTTGTAGTCTAGATAGAATACATATCTGTTCGGTATAATACTCTGATTACAGTAAACTAAATTGTCTTTATTTTAAAATGGGGATGGGGAGGAACCAGACTGGCAGACATTTTGGTCTTATATGATCCATGTGTTTGAGATTATACAAATGCTGGCAAAGTTGTTAGAGCATTGTGAGTGTCTGTGTGTGAGAAAAAGGGAGAATCCTGGGTCATGCAGGTAACACAAATTATCACTGTCTTTATCTTCATACTCTTTGGAGCCTTATCTATATAATTCAACTTCTGCCATTGTGAGGGCTAAAAAGCAAGGATATTTGAAGACAATAATGCTGGGTGAAAATTACCAAGAAATAGAACTTGTTAGAATAGTCAGGGATAATGGTTTGATAAGAAAATGCTATATTTTTGACTCTCTGACACAATGATCTAGCTTCCTCATTACATCATTATCTACCTGTCATGTTTCAAAAATGCTCCAGCACATAGAGGATGTAGGAGTAGATTAAAAATACATTGTAATTCTCATCTTTCACTTTCCTCTTTCTGAAGTTTTGAAAAATAATTACGGTCCATCATCAGAAGTACCTATTTATAGGTACTTATTTATTACAGATGCCAAATTTGAAACATCCAAATACACATCATTATTTTGATCGGACAATCTTCTTCCATCAACCCTTCTACAGCATCAAAGATGTGATTACTCTCTGTGATAATGCATCCTTTGTTGAAAGTGAGTGGTCTTATTGCTCATAAATTGGTGACAATTCCCTCTTTAAAGCTGCCTGTTTAGATTACTGAAAAGTGAACTATTTTGTTTCTTTTTGTGTAGCCTTGATACCTATTTTACTTTTCTTATGTTTCCATCCCTTATCACATAAGGGTTCATTTTAAAAAAACATTTTAATTAACATGCTTAATTTGGAACCTGGCATTTGTCTGTATGCTGTCAAAGATCTTTCCTTACATACTAGACCACACTAATATGTAAAATTGGATCAATGGCAGATTCAGAGATATAATAGGTATGGCATGGATACAACTTGACTTCCTGGCAGCTGCACATCTTCATGTGTGTTATTTACATGTGCTTTGAAATAGATATTCATCATGTTTCTTCCCCCACTGATACAGCAGTTCTGCTATAAGAACATAGATGCCATTTTAATATTGCCAGTGAATACTCTTTCAGCTGCAAATAGTTTAAGTGAAATTGAAAGTTCCTGAGCTCATTATGTATTTATTAATCATACTCATTTCCAAACCTTCCTCATTCTTTTTTCTTTCATTTAGACTGCAAAAGAAATGCAAAAGAAAATAGATGTTAGAAAACTGAGAGAAAGAGGGAGAAGGGTGCACAGAGGAAAATAAAGAAAAAAGCCTATTTCAGTGTAATAGAATACAAAAAAGTGAATTACAGCCTCAAGCTTTTGCTTTACATTTCACATCATTTCAAACCATTTTTATAATGACAAAATCATTCTAATCAACAAAATCTAAAATCAAAGTTTCATTTTTTTTCAGTTTTGAGCGAAAAGACCAGAAATAGTTTCCTAATAGAAACAAAACTAGATAAATTCTTCTCTTCAATTAAAACAGCCACTTTTGCTTTCTCCTCCAACTCCATCACCTTTACCATCCATTCTTCTGTAGTGAGAAATAGTGGGAATTAGTGTGTCTTTCCATCATATAGCATTCTTGTCAATGTCAGTGTATACAGTAATAAAGTTCCAAATCTTATTTTATGCTCTTTGTCCATCAAACCTAAAAGAAAAACTTCTGGTTTCCATTTTATATTTATTTTAAGAATCTTCTGAAATTAAGATAAAAATTTGGCCCCAATATTTCTTTGCTTTATCACAGAGATGCTAAAGTGTACCCTTTTTGCAGTTGCTTTTCCAACATACATTTGAGATTCCTTTATACGGGAGTCTCTTTTTCTCTTCTTCTTTTATAAGAAGATGTATATCTATAATTCAAGTTAAATTTCAGTCCAGTAATCCATATAGTTTCCCAATTATCAATCATTATATTATTATTATTATAACCAAAATTCTTTGGCCTTTGGATCATACAATAATTATCATATTAATTTTGCAAATTTAATTTCAACAACAATTTATAAATCTTAGCAGTAACATGTTAGTCATTAGCACACAATTCAATTTCAAATTCACTTTTTGTATAGTCAAAATCATGACTTTTCTTACCTAAGTTAAAGCTTTTTTTAAATTGTAGATATATCAACCAATGACAGCTTCCAGCTCCAATTCTTCTTTAAACTTCAAATTAGATTCACTTTGAGTAAAACATAATACCTCACCAAACAGTTACCATATTAGTCTTGCTATTATTGCTTTTCTAAAATAAAAAAAACAACAACTTCTGGATATGATCATAAAAAAGGAGAAAGTCTTGTTTTCTATTTAGTCTAAACTCTTGAGATGGCACACCCAACAAAATAATTATTAAAATATGCATTCATGTTAGCTTGCCATCCAACTCTCAATTCACCGCCTTCCACAAACCTTCTTCATTCTGATCTGATTGCTCAAAGCCTTTGTTAACTGTAAATATCTCCTACAAGCAGTCACATTTGTTATCTGGATAATTAGTAACATTATCTAAGGAATTGGTACTCCTGGTGAATAATTTTCGGTATAGTAAAAATACATATTTAGTCACTTGAAGCTATCAGCACATTCAAGGTAAATAATAATTGACGTTCCTTGTTTTTTAAAAAAATATGACTGGCATTATTTGTTAAATGTGACTAGCTGAAAAGGAAAGCCTTCCTGCGCAATCCAATCCTTTTATTTTCTCTGCCCATAAAAATCAAGACACAATTCTTTACTTTTACCACCATCACCTGTTGTCATAGAAACTATTGGAACACATAACTACTGCAAATGACTGCAACTTCATTGAATGGACAGGGATGGAGATGGGTCCTGAAGGGAACACTTTAGTTTAAACAGGTGTGTTGATAATAATAGGGCTGATAAGAGGAATAATTCAAAACCACCCCAGTGTAGCATGAACAGCATCCATTATTATGCTAACAATATACTAAAAGGCTATTTACTGGACCTTTTGTTTATTTCATGGCATTGTTTTCCACAAGATATGCAAATGTATCTGAAAACAAGGAGCTTGTTGTCATGGTGTGAATGAAATACCCTACTCAAATTCTGTACTAATTTGACTAGGATCCCTAGGAAAAGAATGGGAAAATGTTCTGTGTTTACCATCCCTTACAAAAATTAAGAGTACCACGTGCATATAGTCCTAATATGTCTCTCAAAAGCTTTCATCGTCCAGGGAGTATATTTGTAAAGTTATGTCATAGCATCTAGAAAAATCAACTGCATTCTTTCAGCTTTATCTACAGCACTGTGCTGTTCTTCAGAATGAGAAGGTCACTTACAAAACAAGGTATTATTTTTGTTCTTCACTCAAGCTGTAAAATGCCAGAAGAGCTTTGATTTGAAACTTGGAGAAAACAGTTATTCTTGCATCCTCTCTGTGGAATGCAGAAGCCTAAAACAGGTCCTTGGGATGTGTAAATGTCACTGAAATTCCTTTTTGAGAAAAACCATTGACACTCAAGTGACAGCAAGTAGCATTTTGCTTCTGGTTCAGTACAAATTACAGACAACTTGACATTTGGGACCTCAGAATACAAAAGCAGATGGAAACCCTACATGATCAACTGGCTTTTTCATATTTACAAAACCAGTTTTGATTTAAGACCGCTCTTTGGGGACAATTGGGGGGTGGGGAATTGAGGGAAGGAAAGTGGTGGGGAGGGAGAGAAAGAAACAAGGGATTGCAAAGTTTTTAATTCATATTATTTTCCGCTCTATATTTAAAAACCAAAAGTGAGCAGTAATTTTCCCTGCAAGATATTAAACATAAATGCTATTGGCATATTCTTTAGTTGTTAGTGCACAGATTGTATTCTCTAAGCCTCTGTTACATAAAACATAATAGAAAGCTAAATGGTTCAAATAAGAAGAGATTGTAGCAGTTTTTCTGGTCTCTATTGATGTTGTTTACTAGAGATAAATTCCTATATTTGTTGTATGCTTTTACTTAAGGCTTGGTTCTTTTTGCCTGTCTTGCACATGAAACAAAAGCATTTGAGATGCCTGTTTCAAGAGGTCCGCTAGCTTGATTCTTCATTTTGAATATTTTTAGTGAAATAAGATAGACAGTGAGCAACAATGTCTTTATCTAATCTGTTTTTCTCCCCTCCCTCTCTCTCTCTCCCTCTCTTTTTTTAACATAGCTCTAGGCTAATGGCAAGCATAGCACCTTCAGTTCAGTTGGGAAAATAAACAAGATAGGAAGTTAAAGTAAAGACCTGTCACGCCTGAGGCTGATTGTTAGAAGTGGAAATCGAGGGACACAGTTAACTGGGGAGTGTCAATAAATCCAAATGTGACATGTACCCTGCTGCTTCTTGTGGAACTAGTTTAAACAACACGGTATCACAAAATACCTAAGATATAGACTGGATGGAACTATTTGAGATTTCCATAAACTGATGTGATCTTGCTGGAACGGGAAGTTGCATGATTATTTTGAACACATTCTGAAGCACTGAATAATGGAGTTCTGGACACAGAAAGAATCCCTTTGTTGTTTTCATTGCTGCTTGCCATATGACAGCCTTTTTCAAACTGGTGCCTTCAAGTATGTGGAGAGTACAGTTCTTAATATTCCCATTACTCATGCTAGCTGGGAATTTGGGGAACTGCAAAGTCAACATATTTAATGGCTGCTAAACTGGGGAAAACTATATGTTCTAATCAAAAGCTATAATATCCTGGAGTAGAAAGTTAAAAAGTTGGGAGAACATGTAGCGTTTTCACCCAACCATCCTGGTGATGTCAAGGGTGAAGAACGGAGATATAAATTATGGCCTACATTACCAGCACAAGGGGTGTAGGCTGGACTGAGCTACATCACACAAAGGTAGCCTAAATTGTGTTTGGCAACCCTTATCAGGAAAGCTTTAAACTAAATTAGTTTAAAGAGAAAGCAACATGGATTCCAAGGCAAACAGTAGCAGGCACTGGAAAAGTACCTGTCCCTGATAATGTTGGAGATATTCAGAAATCATCAACATCAGGTACTTGATGCTGATGATTTCTGAGTATCTCCAGCATTATCAGGGACAGGTATGTTCCCAGTGTCTGCTACTGTTTGCGGTGTCTGCACATCAATGCATAAAACAGGACTAAGAAACAAGAAGAATTAGAAATATAAGAAAGTATGATTGACCTGATTAGGTATCTTGGAAGATAATAGGATAAGAATCAGAATGACTTTTTTTTAAAAAAAAACTGATCACCCTCCTCCCTGCCCCCAAAAGGGAGACAGAATGCCTTGGGTATGAAAAGAAACCATTTACCTGTGATGAAATTCATTTCTCTGAATATAAAAGTCCTGTTGAAAACCTCTGGGAGGAGAGACAGGAAGTAGTAGTAGAAGTAGTCCTACCTATGGTAGTTTACTACAGTTACCTATGGACAAAATGTTGAACAATGTCTTCTAAATCCACTCACCAAGTTCTAAAGAGGGCAAGCTGTAGCTGTAATGGGAGACTTCGTCTGAAACCATTTGTCTGAAATGGTATAAGGTTTCCTGTCTAAGCAGGGAGTTGGACTAGAAGACCTCCAAGCTCCCTTCCAACTCTGCTATCCTGACATTACCCTGATACTTGCTAGTAAAGTAACTTATCTGACACTACGAGGTCCCCCCAAAATATGTTTTTTCTTAATGACAATTTAAGTTTTCAGAATTTTTAGAAGAAACAATATCAGATTTGATATTGATAAGTTGAAAACCAAAAAGAAGTATAGGAAATTTAACCAGAGGCTGACAACTAAGCAGTAAAAGTAAGGAATGAGAAGAGAATGCTGAAAAATACAAAACAAAAGAAAAGAATTTGTGGGTTGTCCAGAATAAAAGAAAACACAAGAAGGCTGTGGTCTGTGGCACAGGGAAAATGTGCAAGTAATAACAGGGTGTACGAGAAGGTTGAACTTCTTAACATCCTCTTTATTTCTGTCCTTTTCTCACTTCCTTAGATGAGAAGGGGGAGGGTAAATCAAATTCAGGATTTATGAAGGTATACAAAGAAGCTACATTAAATGAATTAAATGCCAGACAAATTATATCTTAAAGTGTTGAAAGAACCGGAGAAGTGATTTCAGAAGCACTGACTTTAATCTTTGAAAACTGAGAACTGGTGAAGTGTCAGAAGACTAGGGAAAAGGAAAACATAGTCGCTCTCCTCCTCCTCCTCCTCCTCCTCCTTGTCCTCCTCCTCATCCTCGTCCTCCTCCTCCTCCTCCTCCTCCAACATGATTGCAAGGTCAACTTGTATGCATTGCATTTTCCATTTCACAAATCTGCATTGTCTCTGCAAGGTTTGCAAGGCACATGACATCTTTCAGTCAGCTGAACCATCACATTTACATCCATCCTTTTGGCCTTTCTACTTTTAATTCTAGAACTTTCTTCTAAAGAGTTGTTATTGCTATAAGGTACCTAGCCATATCAACGTGAGTGCATTTCTTACCTTTTCTCAGCAAGCACTAATGGCGTTTCCTCATGTCCTTATTTGCTATTCATTCTAGTCTTGTAATGTCAAGTGGCCTTAGCATTCTGATCCCCATAAAATATAAGGACTACATCAGTTTTGTCATTGACCATGATTCCATACATTGCTACTGGTTTGATGACTTTTATGACACTAGATTTGAATTTCAGGTATATAGGGATTTTCCTACTCTATAGAACACAAGTAATGTGCCACAATTTCATCCAGTGGTGTTGATTCATACTTGATGGTCCATTGTGGCAGACATATTTTTGGACAAAAATGCTATAAATTTCATAAATTTAAATGTAAACCTTTGTAATTAAATAAAAACAATTTATGGTCAGGAAAATAGAAGTATATGATGAAGCACAAAATGGTAAGAGGAATTAAGTATCTAGGATGGACCCTGACTAGACACTACAATTTCCTCATTTCTCTTCCCATAGCTTTTTCTCATAAGGAAATATGGCATACAGTTGTTAATAGGTGTTAATATTAAAGGAAGCTAGAAAGAGGCCTATCAACTTTTATAGATACAGTATCTATCCCTTCTAAATTCAATAGGTTTCAGAGTCTAACTTTCTGAATTCATGCATGGGAGAGAAGGATGAGAAAGGGAGAAAGGGGGAAAGAAAGAAGAAGAAGAAAGAGGGAGGAAGGGAGGGAGGAAGTAAAGAAGGAAAGAGAGGGAGGGAAGGAAGGAAGGAAAGAAAGACAGAAAAGACAGAAAGAAAGGAAGGAAGGAAAGAAAGAAAGAAAAAGAAAGAAAGAAAGAAAGAAAGAAAGAAAGAAAGAAAGAAAGAAAGAAGAAAGACTTTTGCAGAATGAGAAGAATACGGTATATCAATTTCATATATATAAATGTAAGCAGGATTGCAACCTATAAAAACTTAATTGGACACAATAGTTGAATCTCCATTAATGGTGTGATCCCATCTTAAGGTGAAATAAGGGCAGGAAGCAGAACTTTGCCCTCCAAGAGAAAGAAACAGTTGTTGCTATTCCTTACCAAATACCCATCATCTATTGCCAGAGGGCTGACCTCAGGAGGTACCCAGAGATCTTCTTCTCTTGCAGAATTACATATTTTCTTCCTCCCTCAAACAATATAATGAATCGAAGTTATCTTATTGAGTTTATGTGTGTGACAGAGTAAATGAATAACTTGCTTACAGAACCCCATAGATAGTGACTCCATGGTTACAGTCTCAGGGAATACAAAGGGGCAAGAAAGTTCACATCAGCTTCTGGTGAACTTAATGATTAAAGTAAAACATTAAATTGGTGCAGGCGATCTTCTTTTCAACTCTTTCAGCAGCAAAATTTGGGATGTAAAACAAAGCTTTCCTTCTTGTTTGCTAACAGCTGCTAGTAACTCAGTTCCCTAGAAGCCTGTGCTCAGCTTCCTAAACTTAACAGTGTATACTACTCCTACTGAATTTCACCAGGATGAAATCCCTTGAGCAGATTCAAAATGTACTGGCTGGTCCCAGTGACATAAAAGTCAATCAGGTTTCTTATTAATTTGATTTAAAAAGGGACTGTGAAAGTACCCCTCTGTACTTAAAAGAGGAAATGCTAAAAAATATCCAATCGATGGTGGAGCTGCTGCTGGACAGCAACAATTCCCCTTCCTTCCCCAAAATTATACTACAAAAATACCAGCTTTTTCTATAAAATACTTAAATTCCCAGATATATATACACTGACTCATTTATTCACGTGCAAACAAATGTATGGAGGTTGTTCATAGTTATATCCCATTATTGAACAGGCAGATCTCAGATATTTGGTCCTCCAAACATTAAGCCTCACTGGCATAAGCTACATTCATGTAGACCCAAGTGTGCAAGAGTCTTATGCGCAACACAAATTGCTAGAAAATGAAGAGTTCCAGACTGCGTGCCAAAGAAATGACATGCTCTGGGAAAAATGTACATAAACTTCTGTGCAAAGCTGAAGCATGAATGTGTACAATAGGTCGGGCTAACGTTAGCAGACAAAATGAAAAATTAGAAGTCTTTACATAGATTAATACATAATAATATACTTTCTCCCTAAACAAGGTCAATTAATCCTCCCAAAATTGTAACGAAGTGTTTCCCTCGAGTGCATGTTTTCTATTTGAATAATGGTAAGGCTTGTTAAATGGCAGCATCTTCTCTCCCAGATCATGACCTGCCTTAAGTCATCATGAGATGTTTCAGGAGGAAAAAAAATGAACCTTTGCTTGGTTTCTTGCTAATGGAAAGAATTGTGTATAGTGCCCAATCAAAAAGGAACAGTTGTAATGATTAATGGCGTCAGCTGTCATGCTATTAAATTATCATGTACACTGAAATGTGCCTTTTCTTTTTCTTTTTGTTAAGTGCAGTTTTACTTGAAGAGTCCGTATCCCTGTTTAGTTGTGATCCCTTTTTGAAAATAATTGGTGTGGTTTGATTGATAATGTATATTCCTCCTTAAAGAAAGCACACTATTTTTCATAATCAGAACCTGAATGTGTAATGAGCATTCTGGCATTGCCTTTAGCATCAGGTCTGTCAAACCGCACTGTTATTTCCATATTGATGCAAACTAAGATATTACACTCCCTCATTACATTGACATAGCATTTCTTTCAACAGTCAGCTTCCAATCATGCATTCTTTGCAAACAAAATTACCTCCATCTTTTTTCTGCGACATGAACTAGTCTTGGAAATGTATCCCTAAACAAGCTCATCAACTAATTTTTAGGAAATGTTTGAACCATTTTAACAGTCTCAAGAAAACAAGATTGAAAAAGTTGCTAACCGAGTGGCAAACATAAAGAGAAATGAACAGGCAGCCGCTTGACTTAACATTAGCATACTTTATACTTTATCAGAGTTACAATAGAATGTATTTTGCAAGCACCAAAAGAAAGCATCTTTTTATTTCTGTAAGACAAACAGCCTCATTTA